AATATTAGCAACAGAATAAGGTAATCAATGTAAAAATAATTAATGAGATATTGTTTGTCATATTGTTTTCAAAATCCAGCCTATTTTACACTTACAACAGATCTCAACACAGACTAGCTATGTGTTAAGTGCTTAATAACCATATGTGACTTGCGGCCACTGTATTGATCAGCACAAGTCTAGAATTGCTAATGACTGTCAGATACCCAATGGTAAATACAAGGTGTCATCTGGTTTTATCTAAAGGCAGAAAGTTCTCTAGAACAACTGAGGGCCTATGAGGGTAAAAACCAAGAAAACCTTACCTTTTGGAGGCTTTCTCAGCCTTCCTCGTTGCTAGAAATATGAAGACTCATTGCCCTCCAGCAATTTTTGGAACCTGCTCGGCCGTGTCCTGTGTTCTCTTTCAGGTCTGTCAGATTCAGTGTTTGGGGGGTTTTAAACCAGGTGGAAGAGCAATGTGCCCAGGAGATCACGGAAACGGTTCCATTCTGGGGTAGACAGGTAGTTCTATTCTCTTTGTATCCCTCCTGTCTGTCTTGCTGATGTGGGTAACTGCTCACAGGAGCCAGGCCGGACAGAGGGGATGGAGAGGGTGACATATGCCCCCTATTCCAAGTCTCTGTCTGCAACACCCCTTCCCCAGGCACCTGCGTGGCTCTCTCCCTCACCTTGTTCTCATCCCCACACAGTGTCATCTGCTTTAAAAGAGCCACCCCAAATCCCATCCCATCACACTCTCCTCTCACCCAGCTTTCTTTTTCTTCAGCACTTACCACTACCTGACCTTATGAATTTAATTGTTCACTTTCTGCCTTCCTCATTAGAATGAGAGCTCCATGAGGGCAGGGACTTCATCTGGTTCACCACAACACACCCAGGGTCTAGCTCAGTGTCTGACACATAGTAGGTGCTCAATACATATTTTTTGACTGAATTCATTCTGAAAGAAAAACTTACTGCAATTCAGAAGAGAGCGAATGTAGTGAGGGAGTCATATAGCACATTGCCATTTTTTTCCTCATAAAATTTCTGAATTTGGGTCCATTCACTTCTATGTGAACCACAGGGTGAAATAAATAAGAGAAATTATAGATATTTATTTACAATCTAGAATAGTTTAATCTTCCTTCATAGTGTTCTTGGAAGTTTTCTCCCTCTACGTCTCATCATTAGGGTTCAATGGTTAAAAAATAATGAGAGGAGAGGTCCGAGGTGAATTATCGATAAAGATACAGACAACTTAGCTGAGGTTACAAACTGGCTGCCATATTATCCCCTGGTACTCTCCACCATCCTACCAAAAAAAATGTCTTCAGCCCCTGACAGAAAAGAACTCAGAGTCTTGTGTTTCTAGAACATCCCTGTTTACCCCATAACTTTGGGTAAGGAACAAATTTATGAAGGAAGAACAAGGAACACAAAATGGCAAAAGAGAATCTCCCTACCCCTGCATCCCACCCCAAGATGGTGAGATGAATAATGAATGAGGTAGCAGTAATTTGCAGAACATGTAGAACACAGGGTAACTCAGCTACATTCCAGAAAATGTCATTTCCTGAGCCAAAGTGCTTCCTAGGGCCAGGCAATGAAGGCCGTATCCGACCCACTGCAGAAGAGAAACCGATGTCTCCAACCTCACCCCATCCAAAGGTACATTTAGTCTTCCCTGGAATGCAGTCTACACACCTTAGTACACCTGAGTCTTGAGACATCTCGTCCATGTTACCAGGCTGGCTCAAGTCAACTCTGCTAAGTGCCTGGAGTTATCTCACTCTGGTTCATGGAGAGTGTTACTCCTCCAAAAATTGAATTACTAAATGACTCTTGAAGATGCTAAAGAATTTTAAAACCTAAGGAATGAATTGCTGAGAATAAAGCTGGAGGAGATACCTTTCAGCATTGGGGTCTGCCCAGCATCACAACACGCAGGTCACTCACTGGTCTGTCAATGTGTACTGTTAGCCCCGTGGAAACAACCCCCAGGACCCAGCTCACCATGTCGGTGGATCCTCTTCCACCTCTATTCCAGGCAAATGTGTGGTTGTGATGGATGTCAAAGGCAAGAGAGAGAGCTGAAATAGTCCACTAAAACTGAGTCTAATTGAAGCCAGGATCTTGTGGGCCGGAGCTTGATAAATGGAATCATACCATAGTCTGGTCTTCAGTCTATGTTTCTCATTTCTATTATTATTCTCCTTTTGGCATAATGGAAACTGAGCAAGACTTGGGAGACAGAACACAGGGGTTTCATTCCAAGATCTGCCATTCAATAACTGAATCTTGGGCAAGTTTTCTAAATCTTAGTATATTAGTTTCCTGGGGCTGCCATAACAAAATACTAGAAACTGGCTGGCCTACAGAAGAGAAATTTATTGCCTCACAATTGTAGAGGCTAGAAGTCCAAGATCAGGGTGTTGGCAAGGTTGGCTCCTCCTGAGAGCTATGAGGAAGGATCTGTTTCATGTATGTCTCCTAGCATCTAGTGGTTTGCTGGCAATCCTTGGCATTCCTTAGCTTGCAGATGCATTACCCATTCTCAGCCTTCATGCTCACATGGTATTCTTTCTGGGTGTCTCTCTGTGTCCAAACTTCCCCTTTTAATAAAGATAAAGTCATGTTGGATTAGAGCCCACCTTACTGATCTCATTTTAACTTGACTACCTCTGTAAAAGGCTTATCTCCAAACAAGATCACCTACTGAATTACTGGAGGTTAGGACTTCAACATTTGAATTCAGTGGGACACAAATCAAACCATAACCCATAGCTAGTTCCCTCATTTGTAAATGGGGATCATGATACAATTCTTTCTTATACCATTGTAGTGGCTGTCAAAGTGCCTCAAAGAGGCTTGGTCCATAGATGTGGGGGATTCCATCCCGTGAAGTCCCCAGGTTTGCTGCGGATGAAAGAATGAGTTGTTCCAGATACTGTTTGCCTGTCAAGGAAAGGGGAAGACAATTCTCTCTAAAGGAGAATGCTCCAAGCCCCTGTGCTCCATGGCTTTTATTGAGAGGGTTACAAGCGGGGGATAGGTAGCAGGAATGTATAGGTAATCTAATTACATCAGTAGCTTAAGCTTACAAAGAATAGGTGTTATTTAAAGAAGACAGGGGCAGAAACACACCAAACTGCTTTGGGTCCAAGTTGAGCAAACATTATGGTGCCAGGCAGGATTTGGGTCCAGGAGTTTTGTAAATTTCTTTCCCAGCCTTGAGCTGGTTATCTGGTATAAGATTAACAGAGCTTGAGGGAGAAACAAAGCCTGCTTCAAGGAGTGCAATTTACTTCTAGGCCTGATTTCCCCTGGGGGCCCTCAGAGTCCTTATCCGGTCTTGCTTGTCTCCGCATTACCAGTGTTCCCCCCAAGGCTTACGGGTCCTTTCCCAGGCCCCAGCTTGTGCGGGACTACAGTTCCCAACACCACTCAAAGTAGCTCCCTACACGTAGAAGACCAGTGGATATCTGGTTTGTCCGAATGTGTGTGTGCCTTGGGGCTGCTGTCTGGACCAGACTGTGTCTGTAGGGAGCAGGGCTTTGGTGGGTACTCATCCTGTCTTTTATCTAAAGGCAGAAACCTGCTCACATGTGTTGGACATGTGAGCAGGTGCTTGACCAAAGCATTTTGATGAGAGTGAAGACAAAAGGCCAGACTAGAAAAATCTGAAGACAGATGAGCCAGGGTTATAAAAAGTCTGACTCTAAGTGCCGGTGAGGAAGTGAAGCCCCAGAACCACCCCATTCACCACTGACTGGAGTGTACACTGGTATCTATACTTTGGAAGACAATTTGGAATTATGCATAAATGGGGAAGCAATTCCACTCCTAGGTATATACTCTAGAGAAATGCTTATACATATCCTCAGGAAAGATATGCAAAAAGTCCATAGCAACACCGGTTGCAAGAAAAAAAAGAAAAACCTAAATTTCCTAAATGTGCTGTATTCATATAGAGGAGTACTACACAGCAGTTCGAGTGAATGAACTAGAGCTATGCATACTTCATGAATGAATCTCACTAATAAAATATTGAGCAAAAAAGGACAAGTTGCAGAAGAATAAATACAATGGGTTAGGCAAAACTAAATGCTATGTTGCTCAGGACACATACACATGTATATGCATAAAGGGTATAAGGACAAGTGTGGGGATGACAATCACCAAGTTCAGGAGAGATATTATGTGGGGAGAAGGGAATGTGTGAGTGGAGATTCAGCTTTATGGATTTATGGTATTATATTGATTTTTTTAGGAGGTTCCCAAGTAAAGGTTATTGGTTCTTCTTTATAACTTTCTGCATGTTTGAAGTATGGCTTTTTTTTTTTTTTTTTAAAGAGCCAGGACTGGAGGGGCCTTACATAAAAGAGAGGGAGAGATTGGGCTTACTTGTGGGGAGGTTCAGAAATGCTCTTGCCACCCCTGGAACCCAGACCCCATAATAAATAAAATACAGACCCATCTGACATATGCCACACTGAAAGGCTCAGGCCAGAAAGGTCTCCCGTTGAGGGGGAAGGACAGGAGGGAAGGACATTTTGATGCTGCCCTTTCTGGTTCTGAACCTAGTTATTGGCGTGCACTCCAACCCCTGGGCTGCAAGAAACCCCGGTGGAGGTGACGGGGTGGGGGTGGGGGTCTGCAGAACAGATCACCGTCTACACCCACGAATGCACAGGCCTACATATCCCATTCACACCAAGCACATCCACGCAGGCTGCCACCCCCACACGACACACACCGCCTTTCAAACAACCTGGCATGGGCACCCTGACAGTCCACAGCACCTTGACAGCCTCTCACGCATGCACACACGCACACGCCCCCTTTCCACTACACACCCTGGCCAGGACCCCAGAATTGCAGGCGCTGCAGAGCCCGCCAGCTGCAGGCCCCACTGCCCTCTCTCCAGCGCTGGGTTTTTCCAGCGGAGCCTCACTCCCTCTACTGAGCTCTCAGGGAATTGGTGTCTGACGCGGCTGCTCCTGCACATTATTTATTTATTTCCTCTTCCTCCCTCCGAGACCCTCCAGTCAGGAGAGCTGCAGCCTGGGACGGAGGCAGAGAGGAGCCACAGGGACACAGGAGGCAGAGAGGACGGAGGGGACGACCCCTCAGAAGCCCCGACCCGGCTCATCAAGCTCAACAAGCCTCGCGCGGGCCATGAGCACCAGGCAGGAGGCCAGGAGAGAGGGGGGAGACTCCAGCAAGAGGGGACAGGAGGCAGAGCTGCGGGACCGAGCCCACCTGAGCCAGCAGCGCCGGCTCAAACAGGCCACCCAGTTCCTGCACAAGGACTCTGCTGACCTGCTGCCCCTGGACAGCCTCAAGAGGCTGGGCACCTCCAAGGACTTGGTGAGGCAGCCCTCTCCCCACCCCACCCTGGAGAACTCCTCTGGCCCTTTCTCTCCACCTCCCACCCCCTACCCTGAAGGTTGGGATAAGGACTTGTAAGGGCAGACCCTAAGCCTTCAGATTGCCCTCCCTCACTGAGAGTTGGGAGACAGGCAGTTCCGCCAACTTGAGGGGCTCCCTTTGGCCATGCTCAGCTCTTCACTGGGATTATTCCCTTAACTTGGTGGCTAAGAGACCCCATTCTCATTGCTCAGCTTCCCCTCTAAAATCCAACATTTATGTTGGAGTGAGCTCGGCTGTTTAGGAGCAGAGGTTTTCTGGGACACAGAAGCCTCTGGAGCGGTCATTTTCAGCTGAGAGGGCCTGCAGGATTGGCCAGTTTAGGGTTGCAACTGCCTTCCTCTCCCTTAACTGTACTTCCTTCTACCAGGTCTGGCCACTCATTTGCTTTTTCCCCTCAGAATGAAGCATTGAAGTCCTCCCTCCTTGCCAGAGCATCAGGATTTCCTACGGCTCCGGCCAGGCCACCTGGCCTCCTTGAGTGTCCCTTTCCTCCCTCCAAGCCTCCCTGCAGGCTCCTCTCCTTCCATTCCCCTGCAGCAGCTTTGGTCTCCACAGGGGATGGGGTGGGGGCAGTAACAATGAAGGGGTGAGTGGTTATATACACTCCCTTGGGAGAGAGTGGTTAGGAGCATGGGCTTTGAAGCCATGTTGCTTGGATTCAGATCCTGCTCTGACACTTACTGAGGCAAGTTACTTTATGTCTCTGTGCCTCAGTTTATTCATCTATTAAATGAGGATAAAATTAATCGTACCTACCTCATAGAGTTGTTGCAAGAGTTACGTGAGCTAATTCGTCACTAAAGAATACATTCTTTAATAAGAGCTAATATGTTCATAAAGAACATAGAGCAGTGCCTGAGTGAGAGAAAGCACTATCTAAATGCTATTATTATTCCTCCAACTGCTATTTCATTTAGCTTGAGAAAGGAAGCTCTGTAGGGTCCAGAGAACATGAACTCATATCTAGCCTCTTGCTCAAAGAAGAAAGGAAGGTTTTTGTACGAAGGTTTGGGGGCACTCTGCTCACTCTCCTGTCTCCTCATCAGAGGATCTGAGAGGAGGAGGGGCACTCCTGCAACCTGACAGGTACAAAGCCATTCCTGGGGGCCTCAGGCCACTCTGGCAGCCCCTGCTACCCAGGACCTGAGAGGCAATCATAGGCCCTCACTACTCTTCCTACCCTAGCCCTACCTTTCCATCGTCTTCCTAGTCAAATGTGCCCCCTCCAGGAATCCTGCCCAGAGGCCAGGCAATCCCCTAGCCCTATCCCAGCAGCCTCCCCAAAGGAAAAGTGATCAGACTGAGATTTCAAATCAGAGAATCTCCACGGGCTGCTCCTCCTTGCAAGCATAGCCAAGCACAGCTGAAAAACGATGGAACAGGGAAGCAGGTTCTCTGGCTCCCAGTGGCTAGAATCTTATAGCCTATACCCTTGGGGGACCATCCGATATGATTTCTGGGAAGGGCCATCCTATGGGAAAGGTGGGAGGAGAGCTGGGAACTACAGAGCAGCTCTTTCTGGCCAGTCCCAGAGCTTGCTGCCCTTTTCCCAGAGTTGGGTCTCCTGCTGGCAGCCTTGCTGACAGGAGCAGCCTCAAGGGCCTCATTAGGCCATGGGTGGAAAAACAATCCCAGGCTCCCACCAAGGGAGGGCAGGTGGAAATGCATGTGTGGAGCCTGGTGGGATACATTATTCTTCAGCAAGCATTTATTGAGTAACTACTACTCGCTGAACTAAGCCTTGGGATATAAGGATGTAAAAAATACAGACCTGATCTAAAGGGCTCTCCAAGTTAATGGGGGAGTGAAATTCACAAATGACATCTGTGAGAAGCATTACAAAGGGAGCTACCCCAGCCTTATGTGTAGAGGGAAGAGCATAGAGAAGTCAGAGAGGGCTTCCTGGAGAAGGTAAACCTGCACTAATTACCAGACGCACATCAAATCCCAGACCTCTCTCCTGAATAGTTAGTTCTTGAACAAACTGTGTGAGCTAGCTATCCAGTCTCAGGAAAAGGGGAGAGGAGAAGCAAAGATGGGAAAACAGGCTGGTGCAAGCAGTACAAGCAAGGTGGCTGGGGCAGGTGAGCCAAGTGGTGTGTGATGGGAAAGGGGAGAAGAGGCAGATTTGGGCAGTGACCAGGTCATCTGGGCTGTGGATCGCCTTAAAAAGTTTGAGCTTTACCATGTAAACAACGGGGGGGGGGGGGTAGTGCTTTCATGGATTTTTAAACAGGGGAGTAACATGGTTAGTTTTGTTTTATTTGGGTGCTTCTCAAACTTTAATGTGCAAAGGAATCATCTGGGCATCTTGTTAAAATGAAGCTTCTGATTCAGTAGCTTTTCTGCCTTTCTAATGAGTTTCCAAGTGACATTGAAGCTGCTGATGTGAAGACCACACTTTGAACAACAAGGGTTTTAGATAATCATTGACTTGGAGCAGGTGTGTCTGAGAGGCAACAGTTCTGGAGGCAGGTTCTTATGAACATAGGGTGGCATCCCAGTGACCCAGGAGAGCAGCAGTGAGTCTGAAATAAAGGCAGTAATAGAAAGCAGGGGTGGGCTGTAAACACAGGAGGCAAAACAGGTAAAATTTAGGAAGTGATTGGACAGGGTGTGGGGCTATGGGTGAAGGAGAGCGAAAGGATGACCCAACATTCTAGTTTTGAAGATTTTAACTTTATCTCCCCTTTTATTTTTATTTTTTGACTTCTTTTCATCACACTAGCAACCCTCGGACCTGCAACCCATTGAAGGATGAGGTCAAAGTGGGAAAAATGTCCAAAACAAAAACAAACTTGTAGATCTGAGACAGAATTTCTCCCAAGCATACTACTAGTTCCTGAAATGTCCCATCAGCTAACATTAATCTGTCTAAACCAGATGGGCCGTTTTTCCATTTCTTCATCTCTGAGCAACCCATTGGGGTCCCAGAAAAATGGCATAGTTTGATACTGGGGTCCATTCTGCTATAATGCTCTGACTGCTGGGAGCCTTGGATGAACTCCTGTCCCTTTCTTACTCCTGTGAGACTCAGGATGGGGTGGGGTTGGGAAGAGCATCCTGGGAAATCTAAGGTCGGGCAACTGAGCAGCCTGGATACTTGGCTTTATACCTATCTACCTTCATTGTTCTGTGTTGGAGCTAGCAGCCGCACAGTGTGATCCAGAGACGCCTGGCAGAGAGAAACCAGAGCTGGAGTCAGGGGGAGTCTCCCCTGGGGCAGGCCCTGATTCATGGCCAGGAGAACAGGAGGAAGACTAGCACACCAGAGATTCCAGCTCTTCTGGTCAATTGCAAGGTGAGAACCTCCCAGGGCATTGGCTTTCATTAACAATCCTGCCTGTGACTGGCTCACTTCACTCATTCCTTTCTGCCGGGGTGGTGAGGGAAGGAGGGAGGGGGAAAAGGAACCTCTCCTCTAAGCCTGGACCAAAAAATGGGATCCCCTATATCCTTTATTCTCTGCCTCAGACCATCTTCCCTCTGTGCAAGTTCATCTGTCACCGCCATGACTCCCCTTTTCCTTTATCAAAGTACGGTCTTTACGTGTGAATATGGAAATGCTCCTCAGTGTGCTCTGCATAATGAATAGTGTACACCTGGATGGAAAATGCAACCATCCTGGAAAAGCTCAAGTTGGCCTCATCATCTCTGGAGCCATTTAACCGCCCAACCAGCATCGAACCTTCCTAATATATTAGTAAATGCCCACTGCTCTTACGCCACTGTCTTTGCTCAGCATTTCCTCTGCCTGCTTTACAATCATTTTATATCCACATTCTGCAACCTTTTAAACTCAAATGTTACCTCTTCCTTGGGACCTTTTTGTTTCCCCAGGAGGAAATAGCCTTTCCTCTTTCTCAATGTCTAGGGCACGTTACTGATAATCCTTTGTACCATACAGTAGTTATGTTTTACTTCCCCAAGACTCCAAAAGAACAGTATTCATTGTTGTGCCTTCCAGCAACATCTGTGTATAGTATATGCTCAATAAATGTTTGGAATGACAAAACTGCATGTTTACAATAAGCAAGTGTACCCCAAAATGTCTGTATAAATCTGAAAGAAAATGAACGTGTCTTTCTTTGCTTCCCGTGGTGAACGCCTCTCTTACCCACATCTGAATTTCCTAACAAGGTACCCAGGTCTCCACACTCCTCCTCTATTCCCAACTAGATTTCTCTGACTGGGTGGCCCTCAGCCTCCCAAGAATTCCTCTAAACAAACAGACCTCCATTCCTGATCAAATTATTTCCAAATAGGTGGACTCACTTTTTTTGCAAAGTGCAGCTCACTTTTTTTTTTTTTTATCCCTTTATCTGAGCCAGTTTTGCCTCAATTGTATGAGTCCCACAAAAGCCTTTTTTACTCAGTTCATTCCCATTACTGGTTTCTGAAAGGGAATCACCCAAGGCCAAGAAAACGAAGATCCCAATCTATTCTCCTGGGACTCACTAAATCCCCCACAACCCTCTTTCTCAGTGCAGGGACCAGGTGCTTAGGGTGGCCGTGGACACAGGAACCCACTACAACCAGATCTCCACTGGATGCCTCACCCGCCTGGGGTAAGAATATGGCCCAGCATAGTGGATGGGGGATGGGGCTTCTTTGGGGAATGATATTCTGAAATTAGATAGTAGCGAATATACTCAGAGTATACTAAAAACCACTTGATTGAACACTTTAAAAGGGTGACTCTTATGGTATATGAACTGTATCTAATGACGATGTTATTTAACAAAGAGTTGACAGGGGCTGTGGCAGGGAAGACAAAGATTTAGACTCTATGTGGGGCTAGGAATTGGGTGAGAACCCAAAGTGTGGTGGGGAGGGAGGGACATTAACCAGCAAAAGGGATGGGGTCGGGGTTTTGGTGGCCATAACCCTTGCTTCCCAACCACAGGTTAGGGAAAAGGGTCCTAAAAGCCTCAGCGGGGGACCTGGCCCCTGGCCCCCCTACCCACGTGGAGCAGTTGGAGCTGCAGCTAGGCCAGCAGACTGTGGCGTGCTCGGCCCAGGTGGTGGGTGAGTCCTCCCTTCATCGACAGCCCCACTTCTAATGTCTCCTACCTTCCCCTCCTGGGTGAGGCAAAGGCAGAGACGTCAGCCCTGCCAGCACCAGACGAGTTGTCCCCAAAGATGCTCTGACTATCCCCAATATCTGAGCCAAGATTCTCAAGACGGGGGGATGCGGTGGGCAAAGAAGGGGCATGTGCTGATAGGAGGGCAGCCGTGACCCCCAGGTACCCTCCAGAATCCTGTTTTCAAATGGTTCCTGCAGATGCTGAGAGTCCTGAATTCTGTCTTGGACTGCAGACTCTGCTCTCTCTCAAGGTAAGGAGGATGCCAGCACTTTGGGGCCTGACCAAGGGCTGGGGAAGAGAGACAGGAGACACAGGTGTGGTTCTGGTTCTGATGAGAAAGACGCAATGTGCAACTGCACCTTCACTTCCTTAGAGGCTCCTGATGTGCCCACAAGTGAAAAATACAGAGAACTGGGTCCCTCCCTGTCAGGGGGCCAGGTGAATGGACATAGGGGGAAGCAAGGAGCAGGAAAAAGCTGTGGGAAGTGGGTCTGGGAGGGAGGTTACGTGCTGAGGCAGGCTCACTTTTCCCCCTCCACACCCACAGTGCTGTATCGACCTGGAGCGTGGAGTGCTGCGGCTGAAAGCCCCCTTCCCAGAGCTCCCCTTCCTGCCATTGTACCAAGAACCTGGCCAGTGACTGCTGTCCCAGTCAGTCCCCAGGAGGAAGCACTGTGACTTAAGGGAAGAGCCATGTGGGGTATGGGGACATTATAGTACAGCCAGGCAGCTGGGGACTACTTAGTCTGTGCCTTTTGTCACCACCTTGACCCTGCTGTTCCATTTCTGTCGGCCACATTCTTCCTTGCTTCTTGGCAACTTCCCTATCCCACAGTTTTCCCAGAGACAGCCCAGGAGCTCAAGGCTCTCTCTGGTTGCCCTGTTTTTCTCATTCCCCTCCTAAGAAGAGCAAAGCTAAATCAGGGCTGCAGGAAATTACATAAGCAAGACAAGGTTCCAGGCTGGGCCCCTGGTATGCTAGAACCTGGCCAAGTCAGGGGCTGCAGCCTGCTGTTGTCCTCCCCTGTCCCCCAACTCCGCCCCAAACCCTCTCAACTGCCGTCACTCCCCCATCTCTCTCTTCACCTTCTGGGCTTGGTATCTTTCACAGCTGGATGCCACACCTCACCAACCGGCTCCCTAGCCCGCCTGGTGTCTACCTTTCTGATTCTGCACACGTCTGCTCACAGTTCAGTACGGGAAGAAATACTGAATGGAATAACTCAATACAATAGGAAGGTGGTTTGGTAGAGGAATGCCAGCTCACAAGACTAGGAGCTCTGTTAGTTACCTTTTCTGAGCTTGCAAATATCTGAAACCAGTTACTAGATTACCCTGTGCAAACCCTTGGACACACCTCTAATATTTACCCCAGATAGTCATCCTTCTCTACTTGCTTTTTCACCCACTGGGCCCCTGAACTTTGGGGGGGTGTATGCAAGAGCCCTACAGAGAGCTCCAAAGGTGGACAGGATGGTAGAATTGTCAGTACTAAGACTTCACCTAACCCATATTCCTTCTTATTTCTAGAACTACCCACCTCATTAGATCTTCTTCCTACCCCTCATCTCTGGCTTCCGTAGGTGGATCTTGCCCTGTTTTGGAATCGATGGCTTTCCATCCCCTAGCAGGCTCTAAGCCAAAGCAGAGACAAGGAGGCTCTTCTGACTTCACTGTGAAGAGAGGAACTCAAACCTTAAGAAGCCAAACTCCTGAGTGTCTTTCTGGCTGGTTTGAGCCTCTCAAATCATGGATGTGGGTAGAGGAAGAAAGTGGTGTAACTAACCTCAACTAGGGAAAGAGGACCTTGGTCTGGGAACAAACTCTTGAGTGCAGGGTAGATTAGAGAAGAACCAGGACACAAGAAGCTGCCCCATCACACCTGGCCTTACCTTTCTCGGCCAAGTCCCCTGCCCTCACAGTGAGAGGGACTCACTATCATGTGTGACAGTACCCTGGTCCCTCACTGCCTTGCTCCATGACCTCGGCCTTCCTGATGTCACCCTGTTCCTCTCCCTTCTGCCTCCTGCTGCTTCTGTAATTGCAGACCTCAGACCCCAGGCCCTCACTCAGCTGCTTCCCCATTTGAATAAATACCTGTTTCTCTATCATAATGTCCTTTTTTGGTCTTCCTTCATGCCCCTCAGAGGCTGAATGATAACTCTGCCCTATTGCCTTCAGAAAGGAAATGTGAATGTGGACGCTTCCCCAGGCCGACCCATCTGGCTGGGGTCAATGTAATCGAGAGCAATGGCTTTCAAATTCCTTTGAACATAATTCAAAGCAGAAAATATGAAATATACTTTATATTATACTCAGTAAACACATACAATTGAAACAAAACAATATTTCCTTATATTGAAAGCTATATATTTTTCATTCTATTGTATTCTATTTCATTTATTTAAAAAATGCTGACTGCAACCTACAACTTGAAAGATACTGATTTAAAGCACACAGAATTCAAACAGAAGGGATATAAACGGCCAAGATATAATTCTGATTATGGTCTGGATCATAAAGTTGCATCAAATTTTAAATGTCTATTGTCTGACAGACAATAAGGTGTTTTGGGGGAAATGATTGGGTGGGAAATGGAGCAAGGCCTATGAAGCTGCACAATACTTGAACATGGCAAAATGAAAGTGCTGGTCCAACTTCTTCGGAAAATAAGAGCAAAATCATCTCAGGATTGCTGGGGACACAGAAAACTGGGACTAAAATGTCCTGAAAGACCCCTCAAAAACAAAACAAATAGCCTTTCGTTCCTGTAATTACTACTGTGAAGGACCTGGAGTTGTGACGTGGAAGATGGAGCTTGGGATGGGGTAGAGCCCCTACCTCACTGTTCTACTCAGGCCGAAGCCTAGTTTCCTTCCGAGTATAGGGGCCACAAACAAGTCTCCTTTCCATACAACAAGAGTGGGTTAGCTCTGGGGAGGGAGCAGTCCCAGGCGGTGTGGAATAAAGTTGGGGTCCTACAACCCCGCTGATGTTGTAGGCAAGGTACACAAGAAAATGGGCAGAGGGTCAACTTGTCTCTTCTTTCACCAAGAAGACCATGGGATCTATAGTTTAGTCATCCTAGGGTTGCTGCCATCTGCCCACACACCTCTGTAACGTATGTTCCCTATCTGCCAATTCAGAAGGTTCCCTCTTCAGCTAAGAGGCAAAGTCCAGCTACGTGGGATCCTGGAGGCTTGCAGGAGCACACTTTGGTGGCTGGTCAGGATGGTAGAGAGTTTGGTGAACCAGGGTGCGGACTGCGGGGAGGTCATCAGGATCTGAGGGCAAGTAAGGGGCTGGTAAGAGGCTGCGGCTCTCCTGGGCCCGATTCCCCAGCCCCGCAGCTTGCTGGGCCTCACCTATGCCCAGCTCCTTCAGCAGGCTCTGGTACTCTGGCTCAGTCTCCAGCAACTTCAGCAGATTTGTAGACTCCATCCGCTCAAGCTGTACCTCCCAGTACACATAGATCTTCTGGTTGAAGGTGACATACACGAGGCAGGGGCTGTTGCGGCCCTCTTTGCAAGCATAGAGGCCTGGGAGGTGTGGGTGGTGAGACAAAGGTCAAGAAGTGTCAGTCCAGTTGGTGGGAGGGTGAGAACAAGATAGGGGCACTAGAGTCAGTGGTTCTGATCCTCCCACAGATGTCAAGCAGAAAACTAAAGGCTCTCTTTCTAAGTCTACTCTGTTGGAAACTCAGTAAAACAGGTAAAACAGTAAACAACTTGGCCCATTCCAGATATGGAAACACCATAGTAACAAAACTCAGGCAGAACAGCATCCAAAATTGTGATACTTGATTTTGTCATCACAGTGCTAGTGCTGGAGTAATGACTAGTCTTGCTAGTCTAAGGGGCAGATCAGAAACTGAGGCTTCTCGGAGGTGGCAACCGCTCTGCAAAGGCACACCGACCTCGCAGGTCACTGGAGTGCGTAGGCCAGAGCACTGTTCAGTTCTTCTCATTTCAGTAACCACAGATATCTCCCTGTCACCGTGAAGAGTGAGCACTGGCTTCCAAGGTCCCAATTTGGAACTAATGGCTCTAGGACAGTGATTTTCAATCGGTGTGCTGTGGCAGGCACACTAGTATGCTGCGAGAATTCTTAAAACGTGCAATTCCTGTCTATTTAGTCAGGGGCACTGACCTCTTTTCCCTATAGATGGTCAAATTTAAAAAATGACAACAGCCAACATAACAATAGCCGTCCAGTGTGACTGAATCAAAGTTATACCTATTTTTTTGGTCAGATCAGTAAAAATACTATTTTTGGGGTGCTGCAGAAATTTAGTAATTAGCTTGTGTGGGCCATGAGATGAAAAAGGTTGAAAATCACTGCTCTAGGAGAATGTTCATCAAAGAGTTCCCATATACTCAGATGGGAAAGAGCTCTCTGCTATCTTTACACAGATAGATGATAAGAACTCATCCCATTCTTTAAAATATTCAGAAATGGAGATGCAATTATCTTTTATTTTTCCTTATTTAAAACTGTAAAGATGGCAATTTATTACCTGCCCATCACCCTCTAATGAAAGAGCCAAGGAACTCCTTTGCTTATGAAGACTCAAAGGAGGGGACACGCTGAGAATACAAATGAGGCAGACAAGTGTGGTTAGAGGGGGGCCGCGGGGCAGGGACCCACCTGCACAGAAGGCTCGGACATTCTCATCCACTTGGAAGCGGACAACCGTGCGGTTGTGATCAATGATATACGTCTGTCCGTCCCAGGCACAGGCAACCACCTCCTCCTGCCCGTTGCCCTGCAAAAGGTCAGAGACAAGACTGCAGGGGTGGTCGGGAACCCTTTTAGAAAGAGCTCTAGTGACGGGACTGGATAAAACATAAAGGAGCTGTAGACTTGGCTCTGGGTGACAGACAGCCGGCTGAGAAAGAAAACAATCGTATGTCTCTTATTGAATTTCTCCCATGTGCCAGGCGCCAAAGGGGCTGCTGTCCGATGAGCCACCTCACATACTACAACCACCACCCTGTGCAGTGGGCAACATTATTCCCAATTTGATCCTGAAGGAACTTCAGCTTATAGAAATAAAGTCATGCACCCAAGGTCACTCAGGTGGGAGGTGGCGGAATCAGGCTTCCAACCCAGGCCTGCTCCACCTGACCTCAAAGCCCCGTGCCTCTTCTCCTGCCTGCATCATCGAGCATGCATGACGGCAGCACAAAGAGCAGCCCCCATCTGCAGATTCAGGGGCCACGGCCTTGGTAAAGACAGACTCACATAGGACAAGAAAAAACTTAATACACAGCTGGAGTTGGGACTGATGACAAACTTCTGGACCCTAGTAATTACTTGGTTCTCTTTGGAGCTTTTTCTGCTGCTGAAAGGTACTGAAACGTGAGATTCCCCAGAGCACAGAAAATAGTGCTAAGCACTGTGTAATAGGGGAACCACTCATTTCAAAGGGAATTAGACCTGGCTAAAGAGGGCCTTAAGATAAAGGTTTAGAGTTAACTATTAAGTGAGAATGGCCTCACTGAAACCTTGTATCTCCATGTAAAGGAGGTAGAAATGTTCTTCTCTACCAGTTTTTCCACCCACCGTGACATCCAGTTTCTCGAGGGCAAAAAGCTGGTGATCCACCTGCACGGACCACAACAGCTTGTCTGCTTCCTCCATAAGCTTCAGTGTCCCTGCAGGGGAGGAGGTGGGCTGAGATGGGGAGAACAGGACCCCTGAGAACAGGCATACAACCTCCCACCCCAGCAGGGGCCTGCAGCTCACCCAGGGAACTTACCATCCAAGGTGCAGAGGGCAAAGAGGCCAGAGCCACTACTCTCAGGTGTGTGGCCTGTGGGCGGGACAGAAGGACCAGAAGAAGAAGATGTGAAGGTCAAGGAAAGATCAGAGCACACGGGGTGAGGGATGGCCAAGGGCAGGGAGGGAGGGAGGGAGGACCAGGACTAGAAATGAGAGAAGGTCCTGCATCTCCTCTCCCAAAAGTAATGTTTTTCTCAGCAACCTGCCTTGTCCCACCCCGCTTCACCTCGTTTGATATTGCCAATGAGGTGAGTAGACACATTCTTGTTGTGGATGCGGCCAGACGTCTGGTGCAGCACGACATCTCGGGCAGCCGGGGTCTCCCTGTGGGCAGGAGACCAGGGCACTAAGTGGGAGACCAAATGAGCTTTAGTTCTCTGGCACCTTTGTGGCCCAATCTCCGTAAGAGTTCAATATTACGCTAAGTGAAATAACCCAGTTGGTGAAAGACAAATACCATATGATTTCACCTGTAAGTGGAATCTATTCAACAAAATAAACTAATGAACAAAATAAACCACAGGCATGGAAACATGGAGCAGACTGAAAGTGACCAGAGGGGATGGAGGACAACAGTGGAAAGAAGGAGAAGAGACTAAACAAAGAACATGGACTAACGACCCATGGACATAGACAACAGAGTGGGAACTGACTGTGGGAGAGGGGGGTTGGCTGTGGGATGGGTGGAGGAGGGCAAAGGGGGTAAAACTGAAACAACTGTAATAGAATAAACATGATTTAAAAAATAAAAACTTTACAAAAAAAAAGAGCTGCTGAGGCGTGAATTAGCTAGGAACCTACAGCTGACCTGTGTGGCCTGTGTGGCAAGTTGGAAAGAGAGGGACAGAGCTACCAGGCTCGAATCTTGGAACCTCTTCCAGATGCTACAACATTAGAGCCAGGATTCCCTGGGTCCCTTCCTAGGGCAGAGGTGCTTGTGCTGAAGCTAGCTGAAGCAGCTCTGCCAACTGCAGACGCATCTGCTGCCGTGTACATCCAGCAAGACCCCATCCTGCTCCCATGTACCCCATACCATCCACAGGCCTGCACCCCTTACCTGCTGCTCTCCGTGGTTGCCTCAGAGGTAGCAGAGTGCCCAGTGTCCTTGTTCCAGGTACACAGCAGAACTGCATAAGCACAGCCTGGCTGTGATACCATCAGTTCAGGAACGCCCAGGGATCCTGGAGTCACCGAGAGACTGTCCACCTGCACCAGGGAACAGACGCTTAAAGGGGGCTGGAGAGAGAGGAAGTGGGACCCTGCAAAGAACAGGGGAGAGAAGTGGAGTAGGGGCCCTGGGAGCATCCCCCAGGCCTCAAGGGTAGCAGTGGTAGGAATTCTAGAGTTCACAGGGCTCCTGCCTGGTGCCATCCTCTTCAACTACACCATCTGGTTTCCTCTTCAGGGTCCAGATCCAGACACAGACCACATTACACCCACCTTCACATTCCTAATTCTTAGCACTGGGTTCCTTCCTATTTGCCATTACCAGCAACTTCCCCTAAGACTCTGATTTGAAATGATCTTTAGATATCTCTCAGCAAGATGATTTTCCCTTCTTCCCAGTTGTATCATGGCCCACGACTGTTCTCCCACAAACCCCCTCCAGGAGGCCTTCCTCCCTGCTCTCTAGGCTCCGGGGTCCCTCTACTCAGCCTCTCACCTGACCTTCCAGCGTCCATTTCTTGAGTGACACCAGCTGCCCTGTGAGATGTTCAGTGCCCTCACCCAGATCTTCCCAGCGGAAGGCTCGTACCACACGGTCTGTGTACCCTACCACCAGCTCGCAACACCCATCTCCATCTGTGGTCCAGAAAATAAGACAAGTCTGGAGCCAAAGCTGCATTCGTCAGCTTGAATCCTACAAGCATTCCATCCCTACTCCTCTGCTAACATCACCGCTGGCATTTTTACCTGGTATGACTTCAGGCCCATTCTCTTGTGGAGCCATCTCACACGCTCTGAGTCTGGTACAGCTTCCCCTGCCCTTCCTGTACTGACGGCACCTGCCTGTCTCTTGGTCCTATCCACCCACCCGCTCATAGGCCCTGTCACTGCTTTCCTCAGATGCGTACTTCCAGGTGTCCTGATCCATCCAATATACCTACCACCAGCTTTGAGACAGCTTCTGGCCAAAATATCAGCATAGTATCTATGTAACTCACTCCCTTGCCATCTTCAATTGTTGATCAAGTGCCACCTTCTCAGCAAGAACTTCCCTGACACTCCATTTAGAATTGCTACCTCTACCTCAGTACTCTCTGGGTCCTTTCTGTGACTTATTTTCTCGATAGCAATTGCACAAATAAGTACTGATCACCACCCTGCCCCACCACCACTGAATCCATTGAGATCTGCTCTGATACCCAATGACTCTTATTGCCCCGACTGCCTGCAAAGATAGCCGTGCCCACCGATGTCGCTGATCAGCATGACCTTGGTGTTGGCAGGGATGTGCTGCTTAAAGACAGGACGCTGCTCCTCTCCCATTAGCGTCTCATGGTGCCCAGAAGCATCCAGGGTCCTGGCAGGCGTCAGGTCACACAAGTGAAACCAGCCCTCAGCACTCACCGCCACCACCAGGTTCTGGGAGAGACAGGGGTATGGGAGAGGTGGACTGGGGAGGGAGGTTTGAGCACAGACTGATCATTAGAACACAGAAGTGAAGGCTAAAGCCATAAACTCTCAACTGATTTCCTCCTTGAGACAGGGATCACTCCAGCTAAGGTCTTGGAGTTACACTGAAGTCCCAAGATTCCCAAAAGTTCTTACCTTTCCTTTATTACATATATCTCCAACCCCAACGCAAGTCAGCTGCAAAAGAAGAAAGGGAGGCTCAGGGAGACACAGAAGAAGACCAGTACTCCCTAATCTCCATGAAGCAGGAAGGAGCAGGTTTACTCATTACTACGCTTGCCGAAAACCTGTGCCATATGACCTATACTGATAGTCTGCGTTAATCGAGTTATCGTGCTATAGGTTTGGTTCGGTTTACCCAGACGGCACTATGAAGACCTGAAGTAAAGGCAATTTGGGCTCAAAACAAAATGTCTACAAAAACAGAAACTCAATTTAGCAAGACTATCATGTTTCTAGTCTTATTCAAATACTACCCCCATTTTTTATTATACTTTACAAGATCAGACAATGCTGGCAGTTTTCCTACAGTACTTAGGGTGTCTCTCTCATGTGTACATGCAAGCACTGCCTGGGGGCTTCCCTCCCCGAATCAAAAGGACACTGAACTTAAGCGGAGTCTGGTGAGTTAGGACATACTGATGAGCTCCTGTGTTGGTCTCGGCCTTGACAGTTTCTGGACAGAAAAAATCCCCTCCCCAACCTCAGGCCCAGGTAGTTGAATACTGACCATTCCCTGGCAGGAACAGGTGAGCCATGGCCGACTCTCATCATTCTTATACACAGACAGCTTCCCACTGGTGTCTCCCACCACCAGTTCATTTAACTTTAAATGGAGAAAGAAGTGTTAACATGAGATCCTGCTGACCCACCTCGAACTATACCTATCTACTGGGCCCATCCTGGGGAAATCACAGTCCATCAGCTTGAATCTTCATCAATCTTATTAAAAATCTGTTGCGACCTACACAGCCATAGTTTTCCAACATTTTTTATTTCCATGGGGAAAGGGGGATGGGGTGTGTGTGTGTCAGGGACAGGGGAGGTCAGAGGAATGGGGGAATATAGACTCCATCCCAGAAAAGTTTTGACATTTAACAGCTCAATGCTCCAGATGCTTGACTTTGGCTCTAATTAGTCCATTACAAATAGGACACATAGGGTAGGGCAAAAGTAGGTTTACAGTTGTTCATATGTAAAATAATATAGTAATTAATAATAATACAAGAATAAACTCTGTTTAGCATACTAACAACTGTAAATCTACTTTTGCCCCAACTTTTATTTTGAAAACAACCCAAAATATTCAACTTTGGGGGAATTTAACTCCAAACTCCATATTCTATTAGGGGCAGGTAAAAAAAATGTCAGTTCTGGGGACCCTTCTTCCTTTAGTAAAAACTTTTGATCTTGGTGTCATATGAGTGAACAGAGGGATGGAGGCGCCAGAGTTGGGAGCGGCACGAAGGGGCTGCTGGGTGTCAGCATCCATGCTATGAACCTCTGGTGCCCTCAAGTGGTGACTAAGCTCTCAGGAGGTCAGGCTCCCTGCACGAAGCATCTTCACCACTATTTGTATCTGAGTGCTCCCCTTCCCAGGGGTTCCCCAAAGGCTGGCCATACTTTCCAGGAGGTAACAATGATAATAAGGTAGCTGCAAACCCTATTTCTACTAACAGCTTCACAATTTCCCCTTGTGGGGACATGCAACACCCCCTTCCTGTCCTCAAAGTACAGTGAATATTAGATTCTTAGAAGACTGAATTTTAAAGGCAACAAAGACAACAGAAAAACAGTAAGGAAAAGTTAGCAATGAATTGGAATTTATCAGTAATGATTTAGTTGATTTGAATCTTACATTAATTATTTTTTAATAGTTATGGGAGTTACTTATGGGAATATTAGATTATAGAAGCATAAAACAAGTTTATTTACATTAAACCCTCTACACCTGACGTTTCAAATACAACTGCCCTTGGAGGACTTCCGCAGATGCATAGAAGAGAAGCTGTGTGGCACAGAGGTTCGGAGTGCAGCTGCCTGCATTGGATTCCAGCTCTCTATGTCTATATTTCATTTATAAAATGAGGATCAGGCCCTGATCAGTGTGGCTTGGTTGGGCCTTGTGCTGCAAGGGGAACGGTCACCGGCTGGCTTCCCAGGCAGGCTGCCTGCCTGGGTTGCGGGTTCGGTGCCTAGTTGCGGCACATGCAAGAGGCAACCAATGGATGTTTTTCTCTCACATTGATGATTCTCTCCCTCTCTTTTTCTCCCCCCTTTTCATCTCTCTAAAAATAAATGAATAAAACCTTCTAAAAATTTCTTTAAAAAATGATAATCATAAGAGTAACTACCTCATAAGGTTGTTGCAAGAACTGAGCTAACAGAGAAAAGCATTTAGAAGTGATTAGCACACGTGACTGCTAATATCAAATGGTTTTCAGCCTCCAGTTAAACACCTGCAAAGCTAGGGATCTTAGCATCTTTCATACAGTCCATTGTTTTCTTTATACATTCATTTCAACAAATGAGTCTAAAGTGGGCCTCGATAAAATGTTTATTTAATAGACAAATACCAACAAAGATTGTTTTAAGAAACAAAGAGAAATCAGAATGAGAGAATGACCAGTTAGCCCTTGAGTTTTCAGGTAAAGCTGGACATCAAGTCAGGGATACAAAGATAAAATGTCACAAGCTCCCTGCTGAGAAGGACCTCACAGTTTAACAAGGGCACAAAGGAATAAAACCATAAAACAGTGTGGTAGTTGCAGTGAGCCAGGCAGAGAGTGAGGCAATGGCACTGGAGGAGGACATTCCCAGGAGAGCCCATCTGCTCTCTGGCAGCTACGGTAGTGCCCCCTTATCTGTGGGGATACGTTCCAAGACACCAGTGGGTACCTGAAACTGCAGTGTACCGAACCCTCATACAGGGGTGGGCAAAAGTAGGTTTACTCTGCCATTTTGATGTTCTTTGTTGATAAAGCTATTATAATACTAATCGTAACCTGCATGTCTTTTTCCATATGAACTGTAAATCTACTTTTGCCCACCCCTGTACATACTATGTTTTTTCCTATATATACATACTCTGATAGTTTAATTTATAAGTTATGCACAGCAAGAGATTAACAACTACTAATAAAATCAAATAATTATAACAATATAGAGTGCTATAATAAAAGTTCTGTAAATGTGGTCACTCATTTCAGGGGGCCCCTTGTTGAAGTCTTCATATAGGCTCAATTCTTTCCCGTGTGACTTGTTGCCATCAAGTGGAACATATGTTCCACTCATGTCTCCCATCGACAAATTTAAAGCCTGTTCCACGAATCATGCACCATGTCCATCACTTTTGTAGTTCCAGGTGCAACAGAAAAACAAGCACAAATTTCTTTTTCTTTCTTCACAATTTCAGATAAATTTGTTCTAATCATAGATCTTAGCAACCTCAGTATATGATTATTTTTCTTTTCTTATCAAGTTGAGAATATTCACCTTTTCACCTAAAGGAAGCACTTTACCACTCCTATTTGGCATATCCAAATTGCCAAGATCACCACTCTTGTGCTTTGGGGCCATTAAGTAAAGTAAAGGTTACTTAAACACAAGCACTGTGATACTGCCGTGGTTGGTCTTGATCTGATAATCCAGATGGCTTAATGACTGACGGTGGGTAATGTATACTGGACAAAGGGATGATTCATATCCCAGCTGGGACAGAGCGGGACTGAGCAAGATTCCATCATGACACTCAGAATAGCACGCAATTTAAAACTTATGAATTATTTCTAGAATTTTCCATTTATTTTATTATTATTTTTATCCTCACCTGAAGACATTTCTTCATTACTCCTAGAGAGAGAGGGAGGGCAGAGGGGGAGAGAGAGAGAAACATCGATGTGAGAGAGAAACATCGATTGGCTGCTTCTCGTCCTAGGCTCCCTGACTGGGGATCAAACTTGCAACATTTCAGTTTCTGGGAAGATGCTCTGACTGAGCCACACCAACCAGGGCTGGAATCCTCATTTAATAATTTTGGACTTCTATTGACTGCAGATAACTGAAACTGCAGATAAGGGGTGACTACTGTATAATGATTCCCAGCAGTTCTGCTTCTCTGCGGTTGATCCTGACTCTGGAGGCCACTCAATGACACTAAAGAACCCTTGCTGGATAGTACAGCATCAGTCAGAGATGCTGAAGGAGAAAGGAGGTGAGATCTTTCTGTGATCTGCTACAGCCTTCTAGAAACTTTTTCTCCCATGGTGTAGCCAGGCTTAGGAGGGTAGTTCTAGAAGGTGTGCATTCTATTCATGGCTTCTCCCTCTGATCTAGCAGAAAATAAATTAGTTTCAAAGAATTTTAGGCTAATGGTTTATTAGAATGCCTTTTTTATTTCCATTTTAGAAATATTTTATTTTTTAAAATTTATTTATTTTTAATCTGAGCTTTTTATTTTTATAATTAATTTATTTTTTATTTCATGTTTTCAAAATAAGTCTTTTTCCTGCCCCAAATCTCCAAATACTGGCCTGGAGAACCAATAACAAAATTTCTATGCATACTTATGCAGGCTGAGTGTACCACATTTGACCACTAGCCAACTATCTCAACTACTTGTCCTTTCAATTTTTATTAATAACAGGCAGAGCTCTTCAAATTGCTTTGAGATATGATTATATTTGCTTTTCATAACAATCCTAACTTATTCAACAAACATTTACTGAGTGCCTACTATGTGCAAGGCACTATTCTAAGTGTTGGGAATATAGCAGTGAAAACAAAACAACAGAAACAGATAAAAAATTCCTACCTTAATGGGAAAAAAGGTAGAATATCCCTAATATTGCAGAATTGGATATATAATAGTGCAATTCACTTGGAAAAAGACAATTTCAAAAAAAGGTGGTGCTACGAAGCTATAAAAAAAGGTATGTATTTTTCTCTTGTAAACAAAGAAGACAATCAGATAAAAAGGAAAATAATGTACATCTAAAGTCATTTTGCCAGTTTACTATTTAAAAATGCCTCCCTTGATTTTTCTCATAAAAATTGTCCTGCTTGACATATGAGGAAATGTGAAAGTCCAGAAAACATAATACAAATTCATGAAAAAACTTTTTCCTCCCTAGAGAGGGTAGAGCCAAGAGAGGCCTCATTAAGTACCTCTCCATCACAACACAAAGAAGTCTGGAAAGAGGGGAGGATGTTTTAGCCTCCCTCCCCCCACTTTTTTTCAGGGAAAAGACAGTACAGAACAGCGGGGAGGCAGAACAGGAAGATGGGACAGAGGGTATGAGAGAAAGGTAATTAAGGTGCTTTGTATTAAAAGTATTAAATAGAGATAATGAAAAGATAAAGTCTGGGGAAAAAAGAGTGTTTCACGTCATCAACAGCCCCCATCCCCTTCGATGCTCCACTCCAGAACATTTTACATATTTTAATCAAAGCACCTCATTACTATCACCCCATCTGATTATGAGCTACCTGAGGGCTGAGGCTGGCTAGTTCATTTTGGAATTCTCAGAATGTAGCAGAGTCCCTGGAGAATGATGGGCGGTTCAATAAATATTTGCATTAAAATAGAATCAAATACTAATAATGGCGCTAACACTGAGCTGAAACTGTGTACTAGGCACGATGCTACCTGCTTCACCGGTATTAATTCATTTAAACAAGGAATGGCTCTTGAGGGAAGCAATGGTAGATGAAAATTATCTTTGTCCCTCAATCCAGGTGTAGCACTATAAAGTTTCCAGACATCTGCGGGTAGTATGGAGCAGGTACCACTGTAAGACATTAAGATTGGGGTGGTGAGGGCTTCGGTTGCCTCGCGGAGGAGCTGTCTACCAGTCTGAAGGTGAGGCAGATAGAGCAATGTATTCCATTCCATCCTCGCAAGGGGCCAAGTGTAAGCGCAAAAGAGGTGCTTTTTTGCGGGAGGGGTGTGTGAATCCTCACGAGATGACACGTTTATTGATATGAGTGAGTGAGAGAGAGACAGAGACAGAGAGAGACAGACACATCGCTGTGATGGATTGCCTCACGTATTGGCCTGGACCCAGGATCCAACAAGCAACCTAGGTATGTGCCTTGAACAGGACGAACCACAACTTCTACGTGTACAGGATGACCCTCCAATCAACTTAGAGACCCCGCCAGGGCACCAGAGGAGCTTTTTAAGCTTATTTTGAAGCTTTGGAAGCTAAAGTGGGGGAAGGGTAACATCTGAACCAGCGAACCAGGAAATTTAACTACCAGAGTTTACTAGGCTCTTTCGGTGAATGTTACTGAATTAGACAGAGACAGTTACCCATGCTCCTAAAAGAATACCAGACCAGTGCACCAGCCAAACTCGGTCAGGAGCACCAGACAACTTAACCTATCTGTAAAGTTCTTTCCTAGGTCCCCCACGCAAGCCTTATCGCGCATGCACCACTCGGGCCGCGGGCTTCCTCCACTTCCCTGGCCCCGCCCCGGCCCTGCGCAGACCCGGGTAGCGTTTCTTGCAGTGCGCATGCACTGACCGTATCGTTGTCGACGTCTCCGAGGCAGATGGCGTGCGGGAAGAGGCTTCCGCTGAACTCCAGGGCTACGCGCTGCACGTAACTAACCGACCTCATTGCACTTCTAAGGGCTAATGGTGTCGAGGGGCCCTGCTAAATGTTTTCCGAGCCCCTCCCGACAGCTGCCAGAGCGGAAGGCCACCGAAAGCAGGAAGTTACGTCACCGCCTGAGCCTCCAATCCTGGCATTCCTCACTTTAACCTTAGCGAGGAGGCGGGTCTTCCGATCCTTCGGGGCCGGGAGTTAGGGGGGAGTGGGGCGGGGAAGCTTGCGCAGCTAGTGATGTGAATGACAGAGGCGAGGGCCATTCCTTTTCATCTTAGGGCTAGAGCGCAAGGGTAGACAAACCCTAACCGGACTCATTTGTTCCGTCGGCTGCAGGGTGCTCTAGTGCTTGACCTTGTAGTCTAGACCTCTTCTTTTGTTGCCCTAGCAATTGAAAATTTCCTGTCATCAGATCACCCCTGAGAAACATAATAATCGTAATAACCGGCAATTGTATGCTTTCCAGCAGTGTGTTTTAGAAGTTACCCTTTAGGAATTGTGAAAACGATGTGAATTGAAGCAGCATTTAAAAATACGAATAGGATAGAATAGAAAATATTAAGTGGTTCATAGTAAGTATTGTTCTTCTGAAACCTTTGTTTCAATTGTATATATTTATGTGTGTATATACTGGCTAATATATATTAAAAATTTTTTTTTGCCGGTGTATGTGCTCTGTGGTCAGTAATTTGAAAACCACTTGGTGCAAAACACATTTCACATATTTCATGTAATTAACACAACAAACCTGTGAGCTTATATTATTCCAATTTTTTGGATGAGGAAAATAGATTCAGTAAAATTAAGTAACAAGGCAGAAAATGGTAGAGGCGGAACTCAAACCAGAATTATTTGATCCAAAACAGCAGATCTTTTCTATCACTTATGTAGTAGTTCCTAGGAAAGTCCTGAGGCTACAAGTCAGGGTTGCTTAGATGCTGGGTCTGCCCTGCCCTGTGACCCCCCACCATAAAGCCCTTGCCTCCCTCCCTCAGTAGCCTCACTCTGTAGTATAAATGGGACATCACCATCATGGTTGGCTTCTTAGGGAAACTTTTCATATTGAATCGAGTCCAGTCTTTCTTTGGGGTGCCTCATCAATCAAGGCATCAGAAGTATTATTTGTGAAATTCAGCAGGTACTCCATGCATTTTAAGGGTTAGGTCTGCTGGCCCAGGCTGATTTATACATTGTTCTTTCAGAATTCAACACTGGAAGTGAGGATATGTACCTCATCTGAGGATGCTAGACCAGGGGTGGTCCTGCTTTCTGAACCTAGAAAAGTGAAGGTGCTGGAGGGCAAGACCTTGGTGGCTGGGGGCAAGAGAGGAGTAAGGGCACGTTTTGTTCTATGGGTCCCTATGTGTCTGATGGCCAGATAAGATGAGAACAAGGAACAAACAGATTAAAACAGCAAACAAGAGGCAGTCTAGGTAAATACTGGGACAACAGATACACTGAAGTTTCTGTTTCTATGGTGTACTGTGGGATTGACCAGGTCCATTCAAAGGCTCTGGGTTACACAGGTGTACCTGGTACTTTAAATGCATGATCTCATTTATGGAGGGATTGCATGCTACCTCATCTTGCTATACCACATCTCTATTCTCTTATCCTAGCTCAAACTCCAAACTTCTTGTGAGGATTTAAGGGAAGGAAAAACAAAAGCCAGTTTTAAAATATTAACCTCTAAATGTCATTAAATAGTTTAATTATGTTTCTTTTTACTAATATTTCTACATTGTTTTTTCTTTTTTCCAGCCCTATGAATGAAATTGTAAAAGAAACAAACAAAAAAACTAATTCAGCATGAAATTGATGAGGATGACCCTGCTTCTTGCCATGTGTCCTGGCCTGACCCAGTTCTCTGAAATCATACTCTGACCCAGCTCTCCACAATGCCTTAGTTTTATCTTCCTCATCACTTGGCCTCTTGTTCTTGACCTTTGTGTGTGGCAGGTACCTATTTTTGTTTGTTCTGTTTTTGCCATGAAAGTCATGTCATTATGACCACAACTCGGATACCATGCCTTTTGGCTTTTGTCAAGAGAGCCAAATAAAGTTAGGAAATGAGGAGAGATGAGTCTCCAGATACAGATGGCATGAATCAAGTCTTTTCATTTTTATGCCACTCTTACCTTGTGTCAATTACTTTAATTGCACTAAGTGTTAAGTTCATAGTAAGTGGAATACAGGACTAGGCATTGCAGAGCCACATGGACATCCCTGGCTCTCCAAGGAGCACCCTTGTTCGTGGCTCTTTCTAGTGGGATAGTTGGTCAAGCCTCCATGTGTACCGTCTACTGCCCATCCTGTTTCAGCCAAGCAGTCTTTCAGCATGGATTTTGGCTTATTCCTTAGAACTGCTTAATCAGGCCATCTTCCTGGTTAGATGACATGGATATAGTTATGTGGGTGGCATATTCTTTACAAACCAACCAAACAATAGCTTCAGTAGAAACCAGCTATGGGAGGGGAGGCATTCAGTGGGAAATATTTCTAAGGAGATTCGTTGTCCGCTTATTCCTCCAAGAGTTGTCAGAGGGGTCAAACTCTGTCTGCTGAGGATGCCCAGGTAGGAAACAGGGCCTTTAAAGCTCTTTCTACAGGTGAGGCCCAGAGCCAGCCAGGGCACATTCTGGGGACAGGACCTAGGGCTTTCTAATGGACTCAGTTTGAGAGACTTTCTTATTCCCTTCCCCCCTCTAGTTCACAGTGCACCTTAGCATACTAAATGCTGTGAGAAGTCACGAAGTACAGAAACCTGATTCTTAAACTTGACCTGAGAATTACGCAGAACAAGTGTGGGCAACCCTCTGAGTGAAATACTGTTATTCAGAGCTTTACTTCAAGTCCCACCCAGCACAAGTTTGGCCCCATCAGAAAGGACTGACTCTGGAAAGCTTTGATCCTAAACCTATCAGGTTTTTTTTTGTCTGTTCAAGACTCTGTTGGCCATTAACTGAAGGATGATAAGTAGTTTTTTTTTGTTTGTTTGTTTTAAGGTTTTATTTATTTTTGGAGAGAGAAGGAGAGAAACATCAATGTGAGAGAAACATCGGCTGCCTCTCGTTATGCCATCCAACTGGGGACTGAACCTGCAACCAGGCATGTGCCCTGACCGGGGATTTAACAGGTGATGTTTTTCTTTGCAAGAAGAAGCCCAATCAGCTGACAGGGCGATAAGTAGTTCTTCCTTGTCAGTGAAGAACATGAGGAAATGAGTTTAAAACAGAGGATGATGAACATGTTTTAGAACTAGATAGAGGTGTTGGATGTACAGCGTTGTAATTAGACTAAGTGCCACTGAATTTTAAAATGGCTTTTTGTTATATAAATTTCACCTCAATAAAAATAAAACCACCACCATTTTATGTGTGAAGCACTTCAAACAGTGGAACAGGCAATCCTCAGAGGCATACACGTTTTGGGGGTTGGTAATAGAGTATGGCTGGTCCCTTCTAGCCAAAGAACTCTCAAAGTTCATGAAGGCATTGGTTTTCTTGATCATTCCCCTTTAGAAACACTTTCTGAGTCTCATTCTCACTTTGCCTCTCAAGGCATATTTGCTGTTCATTATATAATAATAATGTTTTGTTATGATTCTTAGATTTAATGGGGGTAGTTGGTGCATTCACATTATCTGAGGTTGGCAAACAGCTGGGGAACTATAGCCATAGTCAGCAATAACACTTTCCCAAAAGAGGACAAGTTTTTCTCTTCGAATGCCTTCCAACTCTTACATTAGCTTTAATCAGCACTGCCCTTAGCCCATTGTTACTCATCTTAAGGGTTACAAGGCCCTGAGGTGTTCTGCATTTGGAAAGGGAAGATTGGTCATTGAGACAGAAGGAGTAAGGCATGAAAGTTTCCACTGTTTGTTTTTTTTAAACAAGCCAGTTGTTTATTTTATATGTATGCTACCAACAGTATTATCTCTCTGTCTTGATGTTCTTCCATGAATAAGTTGAGAAACAGATGATGAATCGATGATAAGTGAATTGACATTCGGATAAACAGATGGACTGGATGGACGGACAGTTTTCAATTCCACCCAAAGTGTATGAGGCTTCCCTTTTTTCAACATCCTTGCTAACATTTATTATTACTGACTTTTTTGATAATAGCCGTTCTGACAGATGTGAGGTGGTAGCTCATTGTGGTTTTCCACTATGTGATTCTCAATTTTCCAGTAAGTTTTCTAAAAAGGTTCTATTTTTTAAAAAGATTTTATTTATTTTTAGAGAGAGGAGAAGGGAGGGAGAGAAGCACCGATCAGTTGCCTTTTGCATGTCCCCAGCTGGGGGCCTGGCCTGCAACCCAGGCATGTGCCCTGACTGAGAATCCAACTGACTGGTGACCTTTCTGTTTGCCGGCTGGTGCTTAGTCCACTGAGCCATACAAGCCAGGGGAAAATGTACTATTTTTTAGCAGTCCCGCCTATAATGTCTTTTACATATTATTTCTCCAGTTGAGACGAGATACACAATTCACGCTTACACCGTCAGGGTGGTGTGGCTGATAGTGAAGGAGAGTCAAATGTGTAATTATGTGGGCAAGGCAGACTAGGCCACACCTTAAAGGGGCCTGTGATAGATTTTGACCTTCTGCGTAAATTAAATGGGAAATCATTGACAGTGTGTTAAGCAGTTGGAGGGATACAGTTTGAATGCTGTGCAGTGAAATGTAGACAGGCCATGAGAAAAATGCAACATAGGGGTCTTGTAGACTGGAGGTGCCCAGTGATGTTGGGAACAGACTTGCTGGAGTGGAGAGACTGGAAATACAGTACTTGGGAGATAAACTTTGTAGAACTTGATGTCTGAATCAGCACTAGGGAGATAAACCCTATTTAAAATTTTCCAGAAATTACTTGCAAATTTGCACTAACAGCTGAAAGTACTGGTTGCTTTTCCCCATTCGAGCACATTCTCTCCATATGGAAAGATGCAGGTGTTGGTGAGGAAGGTGCAACTAGCTGGGAAATGAATTTGAGCATTGACTCAGAGCAGAGTGGAGTAGGTGGTAGGTTTATTTTTAACCTTAGACTTCTGGCCACTTTAATAAAACATCCTCCCAAGACAGTTACAATGCCACATAAACCAGGGCTTGTCCAGCTACAGGGTACTACACGAGTGGTGGTTTTTATTATTAGTTTTTTGGTTTTTTTTTTTACATACTGACTTTAGAGAGAAGAAACAATTTGTTCCACTTATTTATGCATTCATTGGTTGACTCTTGTATTTGCCCTGAGCTGGGATCAAACCCACAGCCTTGGTGCATCACGATGATGCTCTAACTGAGCTACCCAGGCAGGGCACAAAAGATTGTTTTGAATTCTTTGATTCCTACGGAGGGACTCAGAACTGGAAGGAACCTCAGGAGCACTTTGTCCATCTCCCTATTTTTGCAGTTGATAGGCTCAACTTGCCCAGGGTCACATGAATCTCATGGCGGACTTTGGATTTAAGAGATCTCACATTCCAGGTAGACCTTTCCAGTAACTTCTGAGCTTTAATTTGTAAAATGGGATGATGCATCCTTTGTAGGATGGTTGCAAGGATGTTAATCCACATGAAACTCTTGGCTTTGTGCTAGATTCACACCATGCTTAATGAGGGTTAGCTATTATCACTGGTTCCAGGGCCACATCTAATATTGGAGTAACACAGACCCCCACAAGCTCCAAGCCCAGGACTATGATGTGAATCCAGCAAGCAAGGAGGGATACTGGGAAAATACCCCCAAATTTTTTTTACTCCAGCACCAGCCATGTTATATGACTTGGGAAAACTTTTTCACGTTTGTTAATCTTCCATAGTAAAAGTATGGAGGAAATTCTTATGGAGGCACATGGCTAGGCAGGCTAGCTCTGTCACTGTGCAGGAATTAACAGCCCGTACAGGAGAGGATAGGGGCATGGTCAACTCTGGCCTGTTGCCTGTGCTCCTTGGCTTCTCCCCAGGGCTCCATGCTATTATAGGGGTGAAAGGTCAAAACAGAATAAAAAGTTTTTCATTAGGGCCCAGAAAGAGGTTGGAAAGCCTGCTTGAGTGCCTGTGTTCCCTGGCTTCAGGACTGTTCTTCCTGCTTCACATTCATCATGAAAAGATCTCTGACAGGATGTTAGTGACTTCTGGGATTTTATCTTAAGAAACCAAGGGTGCTTGCGCTTTTTGCACCATCAGGGAGAAATAGACAAATCTAACTTCAAAATAAATACAAGTGGTCCCTGTATTTTAGATGTTTGTATTTCCCTCTTTGTGTTTGGAAAGATGACTGAAGCTGCCAAAACTGCAAGGCTGCTGGGGGTAGTGCTGGAAGCGATGGCAAGGCCACAGCAAGGCCCTGGTTGCAGCCTGGGTGGTATTCAGGAGGCTCTGAATGGCAGCATTGCTCCTGTTCAACTACAGCTTCTCTATCAGGAGCTGCGTTTTAAGCAGGACTGGGGATATGTGTGGTGGGTGGCTCCCTTTTGTCCCCATAGTGTGGCCACCCATGCCCACCCTCTGAGGCCAAAACAAACAGGATTGCCAAACACAGTTTTCATTGTTTCCACTTTATTGCTCAACTGCAGAACTTGAGATGAGCCTGGACCTTCAGCAACGTGCAGAGAAGAGGCTGAGGTGGTGAGGGAGGGTGGGGGACAAGACCTGGCTGAGAATGCAAACAGGTCTGAGAGGAAATACTCGAAGGGGGTACAGGGGATGGTCACCATGACACCAGAAGACATCAACCACACCATCTGGGTGAGGAAGGGAACAGAAAGAAGTAATGGACACAACAGTGGTTTTCCCCATGCCCCTAGCATCCACATGGAGGCCTCATGTTTTGAAATGGACAGGGAAGAGAAAAGGAGGAATATGGTTGCCCAGGTTTCCCTCTACACCCCGGTTTCACATCTGACCCCACATCCCTACCACTAACCCCTTTCACCACTTGACAAATTGACATAACAAAATAAGCAAAATAAATTAACATTCTTATGAGCATGTGTAGATGGACATTCGTTCATGTGTAATGGGGGCAGGGGGAGGGGAAGAGGAGGTAAAACACCTAAAATGATCCCCCACCTCAATCCCCGAGCCTGCTCCTTTCCCCCTTCCCCCAAAGCCACCATCCAACCAGATAGAAAAATAAAGGTCTAATTCACTCAAAATTCTTCGGGGTTTTTTTTTGTTTTGTTTTTTTTTTTTTTTTTACAAAACGAACAGGGTGGAGCAGAGTAGGGAGCAGGGGAAGCAGGCAGCTACAGGAAGAGGGCTGGGGAGAGGCTATGCTTCCGTCTCCACCTGAGACGGGCTCCCTGCCACGTCATTCTGCTCATCCTTCATCTCTGCATCAGCATGGTCTCCTGCTGCCTTGGCCTGTGAGGAGACAGAGGACAAATTCCAGTTCTCATTTGGCCCCATCCCCCGGCAAGAAAGGTGACTTTTTCTCCATGTCCTTCTGTTGCCTGCCTGCACTGAGCCCATCTGGTGCCACACACCTAGCACAGCCTGCCACCATGTATATGGTCTGTACCTACAAATACTCAGCTCTAAGTACAAAAACATACACATTAACTTCTAGCAGAATTACACAGACACAGCAATTACTTTTCGAGATGTGTCCTTAAGATACTCTTGCACATGTTCAAAACTATGAATTTACAAGATGATTTACTGAAATGCTGTTTAGATTTTACTTGTCTACCATGGTAGCTACATGTGACTACTGACCACTCTAAATATGGCTACATCAAATTGATGTGTTAAGTATGAAATAAGCATTGAATTTTGATGACTTAAGTCTAAATACACATGAATCCAATAAAAAAATTACATGTTGCAATATTTAGATGGCTTAGATCAACTAGAAAGTATTTCAGCCCTGGCTGGTGTGGCTCAGTGGGCTGAGTGCTAGCCTGTGAACCAAAAGGTCTCTGGTTTGATTCCCAGTCAGGGCACATACATGGATGTAGTCCAGGTCCCTGGTTGAGGGTGTGTGAGAGGGAGCCAGTTGATGTTTCTCAAACTTTCTCTCTTCCCTCCTCTCTACAAATAAGTAAACAAAACCCTTAAAAAAAAATTTTATTTCATCTGGTTTTTTCTTTAACATAGCTACTAGAAAATTTAAAATTAGGTATGTGGTTTGCATTTTATTTCTATTGGACAGTGCTGGTTTAAAACACTGAAGACTAGGGTACTGGGTAAATGAGATATGATGTATCCATACAATGGAATAGTAGCTACACAGGCATAAGAACCAGAGAGCTCTTTTGGTTATTGATGTAAAAATAAGCATCCAGGTATGATACCAAGAAAGCATAGTACAGAAAATAGGTAGAGCATGTTGTCTTTTATTAGGGAAAAGGAAAACAA